TGCAGGCTGTGTAAAAAAATGTAAAAATTCTAAGTCTCATAAGAAAAGATAAAAAGAAGACTTTATTAATTCAAATCCAGCGCTTAATCTTCCTAGTCAGCATTTATTATCTAATCATATCCTTGAGGTTGAAAGAACAAATTATATTAAATCACAAGAGCAAAAAATAAAGGAAGATAAAATTGGAGTTACCTTGGCATTTGATAGGTGGAAAATATTTTAAAACAACATATCTTTAGTTCGTTATTTATTTTATCAACTGGGGAGGTTCAAGTTTGAAAAGCAATTGATACTAGTTCAGAGAGAGAAAAAATGATTGATGTTATTCCTAAGATTGAAAATATGATTCAAGATGCATCAAGTTTGGGGGCAAAATTATTGGCAATTGTCTCTGATAATGCACCAGCATATTCTGCTACAAGGTAATTAGATAAAAATAAAGTAAAATAAAAAAAATTAAATAAATAATAAATAGATAAATAAATTTCAATAAAATAATATATACAAACTTTTCCCAACAATCACTCGTATCAAACTTACAGCTAACAAAAACAGAAACTTGTTGAAAAAAAGTAGAAGAAGCAACTACAAATAATGGTTTTTACAGAGGTCAAGGCTTGTTGTGTTCTTTCTCCAAACTCCTCTGTATATTTAGTATACAAGTTAAAAGTGTTCTTGTACAAGATAAATGGCAAGAAGGTGGTGCTCTTATGCAAAAATTTTAATAGAAGCTCTGCTTCTGTTGACAAAGTTAAAGATAGTTGGTCTAAGAAGAACAACAAGCCAGTTTTTAACACACTCTTTATCTAAGTTTAAGGATATTTGCAAACCAAAATCCTCTACCTAACTCCATTCTTTGCACTTTCAAAATTTTCATCAAAAAGTGGGAAAAACAGCATACCCCCAACAAAAGATTGATACAGTAACAGCTGCTGAAAAAGAAAAGTCATGTACACGTGTATGTATCTACTTTGGGATGAATAGTGTCAGATAATATAATAACATTTGAAACACTGCAGAAGACCCACCAACCCAGGGCCAGTAATTTTTTGTAATACAAAATTGCAAATTATATGATGCCGAAAACTAAATTATGTAATGTAATATGAACGGTTTTTAAAGAATTGTGTTATTATATAATATTAATAGCCAATTATGTGCAATTATACGATACTAAATTACAAATATGTATGATTATGTGATAACATATAACCGAATTCATAATAAAAATTTTATTTAAAAAGAAATTTTAAATTCTGTTAAAATATAATATTGCTAAATTTTTTAATGATTCTTTAGACAAACTTTGTCTATTATTATCTAAAAGAGAGTTATATAGTGAAAAACTGCATTCAAAACTGCAACTTGAAATGGGTAATCAAATATAATCAAGTGCAATGTTTGATAAAATTGGAAGCCATAAGTGTAAATCTGACCAAAACACATCCAATTCCATTTCTTGAAATAGCAAATTACAATAGATCAACTATTCATAGATTAATGCATCAGATGGATTTTTAAGCTCTTTTATACTATCATAATGATGAATATCCTTTCTTGAAATATCTTTGACAAGAAAATATCTAGGATCAAATATGCAAAATTCTTGAAATAATTTGCGAGCTGGATGATGTGAAATGTGTACTGAGAATTTATTATATGCTGCATTAAATGCATTGCAAAAGATAGCATAAAAGTTTGATGGATTAAATTGAAGATCAATAATAAGGTTTTCTAATTCTTGACCAAAGTATTGTGCATAACAATTTGTTTCAAGATATGCAGTGAGTTGTTCTAACCAGTTTTCTACAAGAGGGAATATAGGTCAGGTTTGTTGTTGAAAAAAATCCAAGTCTTAAACGAATTCTTGTACAAAAATAGAAATAAAGTTTATATAAATTTTAATTATTCCAAAATTTATTTTATTTTGTAAATATGAGATAATTTCTAATAAAGTTTCATGATTTTTGTCTAATGTTAATTTATAAGAAAAAAAAATCATGCTAATACTCAATATAAGTTTTTAAGTAAAAAATTATTCGAAATCATGAATTCCATCTTGTTGCATTTGGAAGTAGAATTTTAGATGGATTAATAACACCATGCATTTTTAAATGAGTTATATATTGGCCTTTTCGTGCAGGTGATTTAACAAACACATCTTTCACTTTTACCAAAAAATTGTTAGAATAGAAAAATCTTTAAAAGTTCTCCATATATCACTAAAAAATAATTTAAATTTATATAGTATAATTATATTACAGTATATATTATATATTTATTTTAAAATATAAAAATAATAATTATTTGACTAAGTTAAGCATATAAGCACAGCAAGCCGAATAGATAAGTTGTAGCATTAATGGTGCCAACACTTCTTTGTAGTATTTTTTCATATACATCGCTGAATCAAATAAAAAAAGACATGTAATATTATAAAGAATATTATCGTATAGCCATGTTATTGATGACTATACTAAAAATTCTCATATTTGTATAGTTTACGTTATCACTGTTTTATCATCTTTTTTTTCGGTCTTTAAAATAATCTACGTGAAAACTTTTAATTGAAAAAATATTATATACTTGCATAGTTTAATTTGATAACGTAATTACGAATATGATATAAAAGTATAGTTATCAATAACTACTATATGATAATACCATTATTGTATAGGATTAAAAATATGCACGTGGATATCAAATGGCAACATGTGATTGGCCACTGCGCGGCCAATCACCTGCTACCATTTGATACTCATGTGCATATTTTTGAAACCTTATACAATAACTATATATTATAATCTGATAAAATAGAAATTAAAGTTTGACCTATTGTTGCATTATTAACATGTTCAAGAAAATTAACTAAAACTAGTTTAGTAGAATTATGATATATGAAAAGTGTATTAACTACACTGCGACCACAACTATCAGTTGTCTCGTTTATAATAACTGTGACAGGTTTGTTGTTAAACAATAATTTAAAATTATTTTTATATTTTTCAAAGATGTGTAGTAAATAAATTTGTCTTAAAGTTGAAGATTGAGGAATTGTTCCACTATATTTTAGATGTTTTCTAAAAAATGGAATTAAACAATCTACTTTTTCCAGTGGAATGTTGGCAACAACAAATAGTTCAATTAAATCTTCAATGACTTCATTTTTAATATCTGCTGCACTTAAACTATCTTGAATAGAAATTTGCTTTTTACTATGTTCTTGAGCTTCAAAATTACTTTTATTTGACTTATGTTTCTTGCTATTACAGTGATTGTCAACTGTAGATTTTGATTTCCATTCTATGGGTTCATTACAGTATTCACATATTAAAATATTATTGTCTACATGAAAAGTATTTGAATGTTCTTGAAGTCGAGTTGAGATTGTAATATTTTTTTTTTTAGACATTATTGTTATTAATTGTTAGTTATTAAACTTGCTTTTATATTTTTACAAAATACTGTATAAATTTTATTTTTTAGAATCATTCAAATTAAAGGCTTGGACTTTTATATAAGAATGACGAAAAATGTTATAATTAGAAATTTACAAACATCCGATTTGTATTAGTAAAGTCTTTGTCTTATGAATTTTTAAAGCAACTTAGAATTTTCACATTTTTTAACAGCCTGCAATATAATTACACCTTTTTAATAATATTACTTTCTTTGAATTTAACACAACTATGAATTAAATTACTTTACTTTTCAAGTTAGTATTTAAAAAATTAATATTTCGAAATTATTTTATTTAATAAATTTATAAGCATTCGATTTGAATTAATAAAGTCTTCTTTTTATCTTTTCTTATGAGACTTAGAATTTTTACATTTTTTTACACAGCCTGCA